TCAAAGAGCTGGACAACGAATAAAGATGACAGAAGAAAAATGTGTGCCTTTGAATTGTGGTGCTAGAGAAGAGTATTGAACATACCAAAGACTGCCAAGGGAACAGACAGGTCTGCCCTGGAGAGGATTAAACCAAGTTGTTTTCTGCAGGCAAGGATTTTTAATATCTGTCTGTCATACTTTGGACATTTTGCCAGGACGAACCAGTCCTTAAGGAAGGACATCACTCTTGAAAGGGTGGAGGGACAACAGAAGAAAGAAAACCCTAGGTGAAATGGATTGATACAGTGACTTGGGAAATAGGGGCAGGTGTATAGGAGACAGTAATATTGGCTTAGCATAGAACAAGGGGCAGAGCTATTGTACATATAGGGTCGCTATGATTTGCAAATGAGTCAATGGCATAGAACAACTAACAAACAACTCCAAAGCAATACAATATACATTATGCATACACTGTATGTATGTATATACTGGTGTGTACACACACACACATCCTCACTCTCAGAGTTACATACTTAAGTCTCATTACCACTGAATCAGAACCAATTCAAAAGTGACACTGCTTTGGATTTCTGAGGATTTTTTTCTCTTGAGATGAGACTACATAGTTTTCTCCCAGGGTCACTGGTGGATTGGAACTGCCAGGAAAGAGGTGCAATCTTAGTTTAGCGGTGCAACACTCTACAGACTACATCATTTTTATATTTTGCGACTCAGCCCTAAATACTGTTCTATGCTGTGCCAACCTTGCCATCTCAAACACACTCATTCCCACCACTCCACTCACTGAATCGATGCATCTCATCGAGGGTCTTCCTCTCTTGCACCGTCCCTCTACTTTCCCAAACATGATGTCCCTCCCCAAGGACCAGTCCCTCCTTGCAACATGCCCAAAGTATGTCAGATGAAGCTTCAGAATCCTTGACTTCAAGAAACATTCTGGCTTCATTCTCTCCAGGACAAACCTGTTTGTTCTCCTAGCAGTCCATGGTATATTCAACACCCTTCTCTAGCACCACAGCTCAAAGGCATCAATTCTTTGTTTTATCATCCCTAGTCACTGTACAACACTCCGATGCATAGCACGTAATTACAAAGACTATAGCCTGGATCAGGTGCGCCTTAGTCTCCAGCCTGATGTCGTTGCTCTTCGGTACTCTTGAGAGTTACCTCACAGCTGACTTTCCCAATGCAATTTGTCTTCTGATTTCCTTGCTGCTGTTACCAAGAATGTTGACTATGGAACCAAGTAAACAAAAACTGTTAACTATTTCAATCTATATATACACACACATATCTATCTATCTATCTATCTATCTATCATCTATCTATATCTCCGTGTGTATATATTTGGATGTATATACACAAACATACATGATTACAAATAATCATATGTTCTCTATGTATGTTTTAAGTATACACACACATATGTGTATAAACAAAATTATATATAGTAAAAAGAAATCATTAAAAATGTTAACTTTAGGCTGGATTACATAGATTATTTTTATTTTGTTTTCACTGAATATCAGACAATTAAATATCTATAACTCACCTTCTAATTTTCTCCATCAATACTAGGAAAAGTCATTCTCTTTATACAGAAAGTGAAATTATATAAATCCCTTAAATCCTTATCTTCCGAGGAGTTAGTAAGGAAATGCACACAACAGCTTTACCTAGTTCTTGACACATCTTCTATGGACAGATATTAATATACAGGTATGTGTATTTATTATTTCCTAGTGTGCATGATATTTATTTAGTGATTGTTATAACATGTTTTTACTTAGCAGAACATGTCAGGAATTTATAGCTTGAATGATTTTTAAGACAAGGCAAACATAAAAGTGAAGCATTCCTCTAAAAGAACGTTTTATAACTCAAGGGAGTCCCTTAGACCATCTTCATGGGCAATTGCTTTTTCCACTCCAGCTAATGAGCTGTTTATTTTGTATGATACATGGTTTCCTGCCGCAAGCAAATTTTACTATTTAATAAAGTTTAAATCCTCCTTGCTGTAAATCTGGTATTTATTCCTTAAAATAGATTTTGACATATTCATATTCTTACTGATTTCGGAGACAAAATTTATTCAAACATAAATGGTATGTTGGTAAGTAGATATAATTTTTGAATACATAAAATCGGGATTTTTTGGAGGAAATATTTGACAGTCCATACTCATGTTTGGAATTCAACTATCATTGTCAACCAGCATATCTAAAGCGATTTTTCTAGGAAAAAGAAAAAAGGGAAAAAAAACACCTCAACAAAAAATTTTTAATTTATTGCCATCAAATCAGAACTAACTCAAAGCCTACTCTCCAATGAGCTTTCTGAGGACATAAATCATAGGGGAGGGGATTGTCCAACTTTCTTCTGCCAAGCCACTGGTAGAATCAAACCACTAAAGCCTTTTCTCTTTTGGGTTATCAGCACAACTCCCTACAGATTGCACCATCTTTATTCTTACCAGTGTTACTTTAATCTAGAATCTAGTTTAAACTTGTCTTGAAAAAATTTATCATTGCAAATGTAAACATTCATAGAGAAATGTGAATATTCTTTTAAATGTCTGCCTAAAAAGAAAACACTTTCATCCTAAGCTAATTACCTTAAAACACAAATAGATTTGGTATGTTGTATTGTAACATACCAGGACTCCTGGTAGTGTAAGACATTGCATGTTGTACTCTTACCCAAGGTCAGCAATTCAAACCTACTAACTAGTCATCAATGGTAGAAAGAGGAGGCAGTCTGCTATCATTATGGTTTACAGCCTCTGAATTCAAATAGCCCTTCACCAGGAATTTGGCCTTGGGTTTTTTCCAAATATAAGTTATATTATGTATAAATATTCGACTCCTTCCAAAACATGAGCTTATTAAAATAGAAGCCTTTTATAGGAACATTTATTTAAGTTATCAAAAATATTATTTAAATTGCTACTCTAATGATAAATCATTGGAGGGGGACATTACATTGCTGTCCAGTTGATTTAAAGTCCTAGTGGCCAAAGAGGACAGCGTAGAATAGTCCATAGAAATTTCTAAGAATGAAATCTTTACTCTAGCAGACTGCCACAAATTTCTCTTGTGCAGTGGTTAATGTATTAGAATGATAATTTTTCTTTATCTCCTACAGAAAATCCAAATTTATTGGCCTTACCACACAAATATATTAACAGACAGATATTAAATTTTGAATAAAAGCTTAGTTGTCCTAGTAAGGCTGTTTCTCTAAAACAATGGCTTTTTTATGTATAAATTTGAGATTGTATTATAATATTACTATTTAAAATATTCATTCCAAGAAGTATCTACTGTAAACATTAAAAAAAATTAATGTAACTTATTTTTAATTCCCTTTTCAAGTAACTGTACTTCTATGATTAACAAATGAATATTGTCCAACAGAAAAGTGCATCACTATTTTTGTCTTTACATCTTCACAGCAGCCCATCGTACTACAATACATCAAAATTATTATATCAAGTGACAAATTTAGCAATGATAACAACTGTTTTCACGACATTAACCAAACAGGTTCCATTAAAGCATCTTATTTATATAATGACTTTATTTCTGGACAGAAATTAGAGATGTTTCTTTAGAAACTTTGAGATATTGTCTATATTATGTCTGATTTAATATACATTTATTAGGAAAAGTACATTTCATATGAAACTAGTAAAAATTACCTCAGATATATGTTTATAACATCAAGCAAAAAGGAAATTATGAAAAACCAGGATTTACAGGAACCAGAAATAGGTATAAACAGACTTGAGAATTAAACAGAATTTATTAGTTTTAAATTAGTCTAATATTTCTCAAAGATTAAATTTGTGGTAGAGAGTCAATAATAATTCTAAAGAAGAATACTCTTTTAGGCCATTGATAGTGTTTAATTTTGCAAAAAAATATTGACCAGAAGAAACATTAGAATAGTGTATAAAGCTGAAAATCATTCTAGGTGTAACGTTAGACGAAAGGATAAATTAGTTCCTATAGCTGGGCAATGAGAACATTCTATCATTCAGTGATAATTGTAGCTAAGCTCAACTAAGAGGTCTCACATAGTTTTAATTTTATTAATAATGATTTTTGTTTAAGAGCAGTATAATTGCAAATAAGAATTGGTCTGGAGGTGACATAGCAGAGAATACATCCAAAGAAAACTGTTTCATTTTAAGTAAAGCCTAGCCATTACTCACACTCACAGGCTTCTCATAATTAAAAGGTTCAGTAGAATAATTATGCAAAAACTGTAACTCAATCACTATTAAAATAGAAACATTTCTTTCCTTTTTTTCATATATTACTAGTGCACTGTAAAATAAACATAATGTCTATAATCAACTACATTAACTCCTCTAGCAAAGGTTGATTGTTTTATTTTCCCTCCATTTTTACCAGAAAAGCAATCCAAAATCATAGTAATACTCCAAATGCTCCTAATTTCAAAACCTGAAAACACAAAACAATAACCAAACTAAAACTCTTCATTTATCAAAGACCAAATGATAAACTTGTCTAAAAATATTATCAATTGAAAAGTCTTGGTTCACCAAACCATCATTATTTAGACACTATTAAAATTCCACCAAAATGTCAAGAGAGGTTCACCATGAATTCCTCACAGAACTACTTTTTTCGACTTTTATTCTAAGTATATATTCAACTTGCATTCTAAAATATTCAGAAACACATCTCAGAAGTATTCAGTAAAAAAAAATCCAATAAAAGGAAATAGCAGCCACACACACACACACACACAAACACACACACTCTTTTTATGTTAGAAAGTTGACAATTACAAGAAAGTGTAGCATAGAAACATCTATATAGTGAAAAAACATAACAAATGCTTATATCATATTTCACAGGAAATGTCAATGTTTCTTTTCTTCCACTCAAAACCTTTAGTCAAGAGTAGCATATAAGAGATCATTTAAAAAGTGAGTGATGTGTAACATGCTGTCCATCGCCTACCTTCATACAGAGCTTTAAAACCTTGGGCACTGACAGCAAAGTCTGTTGTGAACCACAAGGTGAGGATGGATCCTGTGCTCACTATGGAGGATGGAAGCTGAAATCCAGACAATCTGAATTTTGAAGGAAAAAAATAGAACATACAAATATAATTAAAAACATGCATATACTAAAAAGTGTATTCAATAATTATTTAAACTGTTATCTATTTGTTTGATATAGGTCACTAACCAACAAGAAAATTCACATAAGTGTAAGATTTAGGTTATTGAAATGAGTCTTCCAAGTGTTTGTTTATTTGAAAAATACATGAGAACTTTATTTCTTAGCAGAAATGTATATCATAGTCTAAAACAGAACATATAAACTATAACAAAACAAGGTTAGCCTTCTACACATTATGTAAGTCAGTGAGATAGTGCAAGTCCTTTTGAACTTAAAATAATAAGTAATGAGTTAAAAAAATAAGTAATGAGTTGTCACAAATCTTGATCAATATATTCTCTATCACTCTCCCTCGCTCTCCATCTCTCTCCTACCCCCTACTTCTATTCCCTTTTTCCTTACCCATTGCCATCTAGTCAGGAACAATTCAAAGTTTATCTTCTCTCTGGTTACTAAGGCAGTAAATGACAAAGGAAAAGATTGCCTTTCTTTCTCCCAGTGGAGTGTCTGGTGGATTCAAACCACAAAAGAAGTACCACCTTTGTAGTACCAGCACAACCTCTGTAGACGACACCACCAAAGCCCTCGATCAAATATGTTGTATTTTTCATATATCATTTACATTATAGTAATTTAGTACTCTTGTTCGTAAAGGATATACTTTTATTGTGGTATACTATTAAGACAGAATCGACTCATAGCTTATCCTCCAATGGGCTTTCAGGAGCACTGAATTGCTAGGAGATTGGCCATTTTTTTTCTCCCTTGGAGTAACTAGTGAATTCAAACTGCATGTCTTTAGGTTGGCAGCTCAAATCCTTACCATTCAGCCACCAAAGCTCTTTGAGAATATACTGTTGTTATATACCGTTGAATGGGAACTGACTTATGACTGGGACTCTAGTGGGTCTTCAGAGACTATAAATAGCATGGAAAGAGATTGTCAGTTTGCCTCACATAAAGCAGAAGGTGGATTTGAACCACATGCCCTTGGGTTAGCAGTGCAACTCCATACTACTAGGCCACCAGAACTCAATAAAAATAAGAAATGAAAGTCCATTTTTATCTTGAGCAAACTTAAAATAAATTGGTTTTATGTTCTTCATGATAATATTTTAAAATTATGATGGTTAAAATTGTCAACTTACCCATAGTTCTTTGGTTTGACAATTATGCAAATGAAGTAATAGGGCAAATAAGACATGACATAGTATTCACCAAAGATGTGATCTGATGGGATAATCCCACATCATAACTTGGTTAGGGTGGGATGTTATTATTGTTATGTGCTGTCTAGTCATCTGTGGCCCACAGCAACCCTATATACAGCAGCTCTGAATTTTGCCTTATCCTGAGCCGGTCTCACTAATTCTGACACACCAATTCCCATTGCCCAAGTCACTGTATCAATCCATCTGATCCAGGGTCTTTCTCTCCTTCACTGTCCCTCCACTCTGCCAAGCATGATGTCTTTGTCAATGGACAGGTCTCTCCTGGCCATGTACCCAAAATATCTGAGACAAACTTCAAAATTCTAGCCTCCAAGGAGAGACTTGGTTTCACTTTCTCTAAGACAGATCTATTTGCTTTCTGGGCAGTCCAGGGTATGTTCAAGACACTTCTCCAGCACCAGAATTCGAAGGCATCGACTCTTCTTCTGTCATCCTTAGTCATGGTCCAGCTCTCTGATGTATAGCAAGTAATTGTGGAGGCCATGGCCTGGACTAGACGCATCTTAGTCCTGACACTGACGCAGTTGCTTTTCAACACTCTAGAGAGGTCCCTAACAGCAGATTTTCCCAATGCAATTCATCTTTTGATTTCCTGACTGTTGCATTAAGAATGTTGATTGTGGAACTAAGAAAGCTCTAACTGTTAACAATCTCAATCTCTTCTCCATCTATCATGGTGCTGCCAATTGTCCCAGTGCGGAGAATCTAACTCAATTCTGACTCAGAATGATCCCAGGTAAAGCACATCAACACCTTGAATAATCCTGAGCATTCTCATAATTTCCACTGATTTTGCCACTGTGAAAGTAATTATAGTCACTGTGTCAAGTCGCTTCCTTGAAAGTTTTATTCTGCTTAGCTGATCCTCTACTTTTGATAGCACTATGTCCTTTCCCAATGACCATTCCCTCCTGATAACATGTCCATAGTATCTGAGACAAAGTCTTATGATCCTTGCCTCTCAGGAACATCCTGGCTGCATTTGTTCCAAGACAGATTTGATTGGGTTTTTGTTTAAACTTATTGTATATTCAGTACACTTTGTCAACACACAATCCAAAGGCATCCATTTTTCCTTCTTCTTTCTTATTCATTGTCAAACTCTCACATCCATATGAAGCAACTGAAAATATCATGGTTTAAATCAAGTTAATCTTAGTGTTAAACTGCCATCTTTGTTCTTTAGCAATTTCAAGAGATTCTTGGTAGAACATATTTTTCCAATGCAATATATTTTTTAACTGCTGCTATGATGAGTAGTAATTGCCAATGTAAGTAAATGAAATATTTAACAACTTCTTGTTATTTTTCAATTTATCATGACATTTCATAGGAACTTTCAGAAATTCAAGTTGGAGTCAGAAGACATGTAAAATGGGGCATTTTATTATGGACATCGTATGTCTGTCCATTTATCATGATTTTGTTTACTGGGCCAGTCTTGCCCCTAATTAACGTGCTTATTATTATCAAATAAAATGAAAAAATAGATCAAGAAAGAGACAGAATAAATGTGATAAAATAAAAAAAATAATATTTGGATAACAAAAAAGTCCTACCCAGACACTTAGAAATTATTTAAACATATAATAAAAACATATTCTTGTAGTAAGAACATGTTTTAAAACCTAGAAAGGTCTTCATCAAAGTTGGATTCTTTCTCTATACCTATTTAATCTGTATGCTGAGCAATTTATTTGAGAGGCTGCATTCTATCAAGAAGAATATGGCTTCAGAATTTGAGGAAGATTCATTAGGAACCTTCAGGCTGAAACCTCTCTTGCTGGAAATGAGGAGGTCTTGAGATGCTTGACACAGGAAATCAAAGACTGTAGCCTTCGATATAGATTGTATCTCAACATCAAGGAAAAAACACACACACACGCACACACACAAAACCACCCTCACTTCTTTGTTGACTTTGAAATAATTCTCCCCTAACTTTGAAGAATTATTTTCAGGGGTTAAGGGTTGTGGTCTGAAATATTAATTGAAGCAAAACATCAAGAAAATGAAGATTTTCACCACTAGGCCAATTGATAGCAACATTACAGATAGAGAAGAGACTGAGATTGTTAACAATTTCAGTTTGCTTGGTTCTACAATCAACATTCTTGGCACCAGTAATCAGAAATTAAAAGATGAATTGTATTAGGAAAACTGTCTCAGGGACCTCTGCTGAATGCTAAAGAGCACTGGTGTCAGTCTAGATACTAAGGTGCACCTGATCCAGGCCACGGACTTCACAATTACATGCTATGCATCAGAGAGATGAACAATGACCAAAGATGACAGAAAAAGATTCAATGCCTTCGAGTTGTGATGTAGTACAAGAGTATTGAATGTACCATGGACTGCCAAGAGAATTTACAGGGATGTCTTGAAGAGGGTGAAACCAAGCTGCACCTTGGGGCAAGAATTTATAGGTTCTGTCTCACATACTTCTTGCATGTTTCCAAGAGGGATCAGCTTTTGGAGAAGGACAGTGTAGGAAACAAAGCCCCCAGATGAGATGGATTAACACAGTAACTGGGATGACGGGGACAGGTATGTCAGAGAGTGTGATTGGCTTGGATGGAGCAGGGTTCAGAGCAATTGTACACAGAGTCACTATAGGTTGTAGTTAATTTGATGGTACATAAAACCAATATTATTTATATTATATATGTACCTGTGTTAAAATTTGTTAGCTGAAAGAGGAAAAAACAACAAACCTACATGGTTGATTATATTTCATTGCGGAAACAGTAGTGTTTCAGTTAGTTTTGTTGGAGCAATTTTGGAATGTGCTAATAACAGTGAGATATCCTCTATGTTATAAGCACAATGCAATAGAGGGTCAAATGGTTTTTGTTGTTGTTAAGTGCCGTTGAGTCATAGACTACTCATAGCGACCCGAGAATGAAAGACCTGAACACTTGGGTAACTTTCATGTTTTCTCTAAGTTCATAGAGTTTCCTGAGGCAAGCTATTTTGGATGTGGTTTCTACTCCTGCTTCCAAGCTTGTTTTAATTTGGGAGTTTCATCAAACTCTGTCCATGGGTAACCATTATCACATTTGACACATCAGTGTCACAGTGTTTAGCATCAAAGCAAACATGAATTACCTCTGTAAAGTAAATTGACAAACCAGTGCTATACCATTTAGAAGAATGACCAAATATGGTTAGACTGCAAATTAATCCTAAAACTGCTCTGTGTTCTCATCATGCTAGATCTTCCAAAAAGAAAACATCCTGAGTATATCAACATTGTGATAAATAATTTACCTTTCTGCCTCTCAAAACTCATGTGCTCTTGGTATACCAAGGTCTAATTTCTACTAACTTTTTTCTAACTCACTTGATTTATAATAAATGGGTATTTTCATTGACTGTCAAATTATATTGTTCTTCATAAACTCATGAGTGACCATATCTGCTTTTTTATAGTTTACTGTCTGATGCTAGTTTACTTTTTTCCCCTTAATTTTTTTTTTCTTTTCGGGTGCTACTTAAAAACTGCTAACAAATAATTTAATATACCTGATGTTCAAAATGACTTAGGGGGAAAAATAGGATTTTCCATCAGTCATACTGGCAAATACTTGTCTACATCTTACAAGTTATCTAATATAATACAGAAAGCAATTCAGTGAAGCAGATGTTGCTTCTAGAAAGAGAGCTTAACAGCACTGAGTTTAAATTCCTCAATAACAAAAAATCATCAAGCTTAT